ATGTCTTGTTTCGTCGACAAGTAAACTTCGTTGGTCGGGTCCAAGGAAAGCGCTTTGTCGATTGCCTCTTTGGCTTCGTTCAACTTCCCAAGTTTAACTCGAGCAACAGCAAGGCGGCCAAAACCCTTTGCAAACGACGGAGAAATCTCAACGCACTTTTCGCAGTCTCTCGACGCCAATTCGAAGTTCTCCAAATACGAGTAACATGCAGCTCTGTTCGAGTAATAAATGTGATTGAATGGGTTGCATGAAATCGCTTTTGAGTATTCGCAAATAGCTGTTGCATAGTCTTTTTTTATAAACAATTCATTTCCAGATATTTTGAATTCCTCAGCTTCCTTCAATTTCTCTGGCAAAACCTCTTCGAGTGTTTTCGGAACTTTGACTTGTGGAAGACGATGTAACTTGTCATAATTCTCCGCAAAATAGACTTCCGCTTTCTTCGACTTTTCCGCACGCTCCTCTTCACTTGTTGTTTTAAAAAAGCCTTTTTTTTCTAAAAGGCGAAGATACTTCGAATACACCTGTTCCTTTGTTGGGATTTCCATTGGATATTTTTGAGTTCGGGGTGAAAACCAATCAATTATAATAAAAATATTATTCAATTTATTATAATATAATCATAATATAATTATAATACAATTATAATATATTTATTATATATTTATTATTTATTTATAATATATTTATTATATATTTATTATATATTAATACTAAATTGTACATAATAAAAAATGTGTTCATATAGCCTTAGACACATCAACCCACCTCAATAACTTAAGAACTAAGCTATCTCAGCGTCAGGCTCGTCATCTTTTATATCATCACACAATAATATTTTTATTACCATTTTATGACAAAAACTTAATAATTTTAATTTGAATTATGGGGTATCAGAGTAGTAATTTTATAATAAAAATTAATTAAATTTTATTATTTAATTTATTTTTTATTTTTATAAATAAAACTTAATTAAATTAGATTTCATTGTTTTTCTCAAAATGTTATAGATTCAATTAAAATTAAATTGTATTATATATTACTTATTAACTTTTAATTAATTTCAAATTATTTACTATTATAAAATCAATATTAATAATGTTACAATAATTAAAACCTGTGTTAAAAAAATAGTTAAGTAAGTATAAATGAATAACTATAAAAAATTTCAAATACAATTTTATGGATAATAAAGAATATAATAAATAGATATTACAAATCATATAATATATAATATATGTAATATCTGATTATTAATTATAAAATAATTAAACAATTATTTTATTATTAGTTTAATAAAATAAACTCGAATACCACCAAATAAATAATTAATGTTGAAATATAAACTTTTTAATCTGTTGTTCTCAGCAGCATTTGTTGTGTTTAGGCAAAGCTGTGATAACGACCTTTTCGTCCTCTGGATGTATTTTAATAGCTTTTTTATACATCTCCGCCAATTTGTGAATGAAATTCATCAGTTGTTCACAAAATCCGTTACTCTCTTTAGCGGAAGTCTCTGTGAAGACGACGTTCATGTTTTGGCAATTTTGCGCATAAGTCACTCCCTCCTCTTTCGAGACATTTCGTTGTGTTGACAAGTCACTTTTATTCCCAACAAGAAAGATGTTCTTCGTTGTGTCTTTATACCCTCCATAATTCTTAAAGAGGTCAAGCCATTTCTTCGTTTGATCAAACGACTCTCTCGAGGTTATGTCATATACTACAACAGCACCAAGACAGTTTCTAAAGAGCATTGCTGGTATCGACTGATACCTCTCAAGCCCAGCTGTTTGTTATTTACTTGTTTCAAACTACCCATGACATAAAAACAAATTCTATATTATTTAGTTTATTACTATTATAGATACTATATTTAAACGACTGTATGGGGTGACGAAACAACAATAAAAATCAGCAAACCAGTATCACGAATTTCTATGCGAATGGTCTCGTCGTCCTGTTCGATCATTTTGTAAGACAAGTCGACACCTATAGTTGGTCGGATTAGTGGGTCGAAGACATTATTGATAAACAATTTCCGCAGTGACGATTTCCCAACGTTAGTTTCGCCGACCATAACAACTACGTGTCATATTTTGAAGAGCAGAGATTACTTTGAAAAGAAGAATATGTATTATTTAAGAGAGGAGCAAACTCTTGATTGCATATGTGTAATTTTCCATCAACGAGTGCAGTATTTAGTTTTTTTAACATGTTTAAATTCAACAAGTAAAGTTGTGGTGGTTGCCACAAAATCAACATTTCAAAAAGTCGAAAAGGGATTCAAAGAATGAACAAAAAGCAGTGCAATTTGTGCATCTTACTTGGTTTTGGTCATACTGTTTCTCATTCTTCTTATTCCAACAGTTTCCTGATTTATCGCACATTTTCGTGTGGAACATTATTCAAAAAAATTATAAAAATGGTAAAAAAATTTCTATTTCGAAGAGGTTGAGAAAAATTATAAAAATACTAAAATTCTTTATTTGACCAACAAAACCACAAAATAAGAAATTAAATAAGTAAAAATCAATAGCAAAGTCAATGTCTGACTAATTATTAACTTTAATTAAATAAATTAGTATATATAGTTTTATTTTTTTAATGTGATCAACTATGTCGACTGAGTAATTAATAACATCACAATATTAATAAGAATTTTATTCATATTGTCGTTTTGGCGAACGTGTGATAATAATTGATAATCAGAACTAAATGGGTATAATCTGATATCTTTTTGATTTATTGACAATCACAATTAAAACAAATTAAAACAATTTGGTGTATTATTTTGAAAGAAACTAATGGTGAATATTAACTTTGTTTTTGAACAACCGATATCGAGAGCTTATCAAGTTTGGAAATGGTGAATGTTTCAATTTATTAAGTCATTGAACACCATTCTGAAACCCCTATAAATTCACCTTTATAATTTAAAGAAGATTTTTTCAATAAAATTTATTTAAATTCCAATAAATCAAAGTCAAAACGTCAAACTTTTTTCATGTTCAAAACGATAATTTTTGAAGTGAAAACACTATCTTTTTCAAAATATCTTAGGTAAATAAACTCGAAATTAGAGGGGAAAAGTCTTGATCAAGTGACAACAATTCCAAAACGAGTAACTGAAAAATACAAAACGAAATACGCCGAGAGTCGAAAAGTAATTGCAGCTCCATATAAAGTAAAGTACTGTTAACTTCTATTCAATGGAATCTCCAGATTTTGCACAGCTTCGAAGAGAAAAGAATATCAAAGTTCTTAGCAATGCATTTCCTTCAATTCAAAAATCTTTTATAGAAAAGGCGTATGACAAGAATCACGAGAATTACGTTCAGACGTTAGACGTTCTTATTAATTATTTTGACACTTCTGATCTTGCTGCTGAGGATTTAGTTCTCTCTCCAGACTCTTCTTGTCCACAGAAAGAAACTAAAGCCAAAGACATACAACAGACTTCAATTCCTTCCAACAAGAACAAAATACATAAGAAGAGAATAGTGCAAAATGGGTACTCTACTGGTGATGTCAAAGAGATATCAATTAAAGGTGTTGTCATAACAAGAAGTGAAAAGAAAAGCACTTTGTCTAATAAAGAAAAGAAATTAAAGAAGAAGAAAGGCATATCAATCGTCCAAAAATTGATGCGTTCTATTAAGACGACTTTCAATACATCTAAACACAATGAAAACACTCAACAGAGTCATTTAAAAGAAAATAATAAACATAACACCTCAGACGACGCAGAAGACTCAGAAAAGCATTCAATATCAGCAGATGACGAAAAATTGAATCAAAACGTGTTGAAGACTTCGCAGAGCAAATTTCTGAATGCGGCACAGAAAGCACCAAATGCGTTGTCCGAAGAAAAGTCCGAGAAGTTGGAGACTCAAGTCCAAAACGCGATGAAAGGAGCTTGTTCGACAAAAGCACCACAAAACACAAAATCGGAAAAGGCTCCAAGCACGAAAATGAGTCGAAATAGCTCGATTTCTATTAGCAGTGTGTATACATCAGACTTTAATTCTCCAAGTGGAAAGGAGTGTGTAGGGGCTTTAGACACGACAATGCCAAAGTTAACAAAAATGAACGACCAAATTGAAATTTCCGTGTTTTCAAAGCAAGAGACGTCGTCCGAAGAAGTGTTGAAAAGAATTGTTTTGAGCGCAAAAAGTGTGAACAACTCAATAGAAGTGACTTATCACGTCCCGCAGTCTTTTATGAAAATGAGCTCATGGATTGGCTTGTACGACAAATACGAGATGGACACACGAAGAACGTTGGACTACAAATTCTGTGAAGGGAAGGCGGACGGATTTATAAAATTCGACAAACAGAAGTATGGGTGGTACGCTGTCAGACTGTTTCTAAATTCTTCTAAAGGAGATGAGTATATCCCAATCAAGTCTTCTGATGTATGTGTAGGCCCTGATGTCAAACTTTTAGCCTCCACAAAACTTGAAAATAGTAGAAAAGTCGTGCAGATGATCGTCTCAGGCTTAACTAAGAAATATTGGCTTGCAATTTATCGCGACAGTGAAGCGCCATATTCCAATGACGAGTACTTAATCAAATCCGACAAATTGAACCGCCCAAATATCGACTTAGATGTCACTGCCTTAAAAAAGGGGAAATATGAGTGTCGTGTATTTTGCAAACAGAGTTGTTATGGTAAAATGAAAGTGCGATGGCATTCGTGTGGAGCCGCACAATTTGAGTGTTAATAATGTGACTGTTTGTATGTACCTCCGGTGTCTTCTAAGGGTCCAAGTATAGTAAAATTATAGTAAAAGTATTATAAACAAGTTTTACTAGTCAATTTCGTTCATGAATTAAAAAAATCTTTCAAATTTCGACCACAATCGAAAAGGCTCTTTTCAAGACTTTTTAAAACTTTTTAAATCTGTTTGTGAAGAAATAATTAAAAATACTCCAAAGAACTTAAAAAAAGAAGATGGAAGACAACAAGCCACTTTTGACATCTGAAGTGAAGGGTGACGAGGGTGAGAAGTTAGTGAAAAATGACGAGAAAAACATCGAAGTAGTTGACGAGAAAAACACGGAGAAGAAGCACAACACAAAAGAAATGTTTTGGACGCTCTGGATGATCTTCGGAATGCTCAATTTCTTACTCTTTTTACTCGTCGTGACCTGTTGCATCTTTTTATCAACGCGATTGGATGGGTTTGTCGTGAAAATTGTTAACGAAGTCGACGTTGCGTTACCAAAGCAGTATCACATCCCATTGAATACTGTGGTGATACCCAAAGATCAAGCTTCAAGAGGGTCCTGTTGGATCTTTTCGACTATCGGGATGGTAGAGAGTAGTTATCGTAAATATGGAGTAGAGGCAGGGTTCTTAAATGAAAACGAGTATGTCCAATTCTCCGAACAAGCCTGTTTGTCTCTCTTTATCAAATCAAATCCATCTGGTGTCGTTTAACTATACTTTAATAATAAAGTAACAATTAATATATAATAAATAACCGACAGACGGCAAATTGATCTATGATTACTGCCAAGACCACAAAGAGATACCAATCTGTGACTATGGAGGGATGGGAATTAATCAAACGAGTGATGGGAGTGTCGAGTTTATATATTACTTAGGCGATGAAGCGAAGAAATTGATATTACCACATTCAGTGTGTGAGTATTACACACAAAGGGGGGATGGAGAGTTTCATTGTAATGACGAGAACCTTGCTGAGATCATTGCGACGAACCCGATCGACTTTAAAATTAAAGATATCAAAACGATGTACTCCATTAACGAAATCAAAAAGACGATGTTTGAACATCAAGGCCCGATCTCATATGGTCTTGCGACCGTCCAAAAAAGTTACTACTTTGAGTGCAATGAGTACAACCCCGATGTTAATACCTCCGTTTGCACAACGTGCGAGTTTCCGTGTTATCAAGCAGCATCTGGTCTTTATGTCCAAGACACGACGGGAGAGAAGTGTTGCACGCGAATTGGGTTGGCGTCGTATTCCAATGACGCGGTCTTTGATTTACATGGCGAAGTGATGGGCAGTGGAGGGCATGCGATGGTGATAGTTGGATGGAATGATGAGTTTAGGGTTGACCGAGACCAGAGCACTTATGTGAAAACAAAGGAAGAAGGGATTAATAGACAAGACGATGGCAATCAGTACTACAATCCTGTGAAAGGGGGTTTTATTATTAAAAACAGTTGGGGGTTAGTAGGGCATTCCATTCAATATTGGATGCAAAGTATTTCAGAAGCCAATGAAGCGTTAATCTGTCCACTAACTTTATCGATCAAAAATTGGTCTCCTGTAGATGCGGAGTGTCTGAAGACGAATTTGAAGTTCTCGGAGTGTGGCTTTGGGAAAGTCCGATACGTCGGAAGACAGAAGAAAAAGATTTTGGGAGGGGTCAAGTTGAGTTGTAGTCGATCATCAAATAAAGAAACGGATGTTAAGAAAATGACGTTATTAGGGTTTCCGGAATGTGGGGAAGACAATGCAAACGACTATGTGTATGCGTTAGTGGGGAAGCTGGTCGAAGACGACGAAGAAGGTACTTCGACAGTGAATTTGGTGTCTGAAATTCCGGAGGGAAGTGATACACAACGCCTTTACTCGATTGTCCGAGCAAAGTTGGGAGAAGACCAAGATACTGTGAGTGACGTCGAAGTCCTTCAAACAACACAAACGACACTTCAAATGTTGGAAAAGGTGTTTAAACCGTTTGCGGAGTTCAATGTAGATAACAGTGACTCGTGCGGATATTATTTCCAACCATACTCCACTATTCGTTTTTTGGTCAGTGACTATAAGGCTTGGGGATATGAATCTTACGCATTCTCATACCTCGATATACAATGGGAGAATTCTAGTTACCTCTTCGGTAATGAAAATAATCAAAACTATCAGTGGATCAAAAACTCAACAGTCAAATATGCATTCCCTGTGTTCGATGGGCCGTTCGGAGATATCACTGCTAATTGATTTCTAATTCAATAGGCAATCGTCGCCCACTTTTTTTAAAGCTCCAAAATTTTCAAATCGTTCGAAAATTATTTAAATGTCGTTTTAAGTTACTTCATATTTATTATAAGAATGAACGATTTTCATTATTTGAAATACCAAATTAAACTATAAATTAAACTATAAATTAAACTATAAATTAAACTATAAATTAAACTATAAATTAAACTATAAATTAAACTATAAAAGTAAAAAAAAAGAAAATAAGAACACAACGAAAAACATAGAACTTGAACTTAAAAAAGATCTTTGGAAAGATGCAGACTGACATTGAAACGCAGTTACTTGAAAATTTACAAGAGCTCCACAAATCACTTGATGAGTTCAGTAAGAGACACTTTGTAGTTACTTCCAAATTTTTGTATCAACTTGTTTGTTTCTTATAGAGACGTGTGTGTTGATTGATCAAAATGTGGTTGTGAGACATGTAAATAACATTCAGAAACAAATAGTCGAGACTACAAAGTTGGTAGTAGAAACCACTAAAATAGTCACGCGAGAAATCTTCATGGGGACGACTACATTAAGGAATGAATTAGTCCAACTTGCTATTGAAATGGTTGACGCTTATAGAAACGTTGAGAAATTGATGGAAACATTAAAATACAACATAACAGAGGAATCGACCCCTTCTGTTGTGATGACGAGCTGCCAAACTATTGCGATGAATGCGACATCGATTCTCCATATCTTCACGGGGTCTTCATTTAATCGACTTTATGAAGAAGTCCAACTCATCTTGTTTGTAGTTTCGATACCACTTTAAATGAATTATAATGACATGCAGAGAGTTGTTGAATCAAATTGATAGCACAACCATCACAAGTTACCAAACGTGCACTACCATATCAAAGGTATGTGTGTTACTCCACAGTCATCTGGATCACTTGATCTCTCAAGAGAAGTTATCGACGGACAAACCACACCAACTCCACGCACTCCACCATCTCCTCTCCGAGCAATTCGCGAACTTCATTTCCGCCTTTGATAAGTATCTAGTCAGTGGAAAGTCACAGGAACACGAAGAAACGGTGATGAAGACACAAAAGGAAATCATCAATTCGTTGAACACGGAAATTCAAATCATTTCGCCCATACATCCACTCAGTTCGCGGCCTTGGACAGGCACACGTTTGCGCGCTATTAAATTACTTGAGAGTGAAGACTATGAGGGCGTCACCCCGATCTTGTTAGCTTCTGATTTCCCAAATCAACGAGTGTTGCCGACGTTGGACTCGTTACAAACAAGTGTCTCTTCCCATGATTATACCGGCGCCGAGTATAACAAAGTCGAGTTATTGGAGTACTTCCAGACGTTTGAAGTTGGTGAGAAGAAGAGGTACCAAAACGACATTCAGCGCCAAGTGACGACGAAGATGTTACAGTCGACGTTGCACAAATACGAGTCGAAGTATTGGAAATTTACAGACAAACGTGATGTTGGGTCGTCGATGAGTTCATTAGAAGAAGCCTTGGTAGCTTCGAATGAAGAGGAAGACATTGTTATTCAGGAGATTCGCGAGATAGGGAATTGTTTGCGGTATGGGACTCCTAATGCGTTGTACTTACTTCCGAAATACGCCGAGAAATTAATGTTTCTTGGAGCACCAAAAGTCACTCTGTCAGACCCGTCAAGCCTTTTGAACGCATTTAGTCCGGAAAGTTTGGCAGAGGCGTTCACGCAACTTCCGCCACTTCCGACCATCGACGCACTTGTCTCGTTGCAAGAGATGATGATTGAGTTGATCATATTAGATATCTTGATCACATCGACGGAGTATCACCCGGACCAATTTGCGTACTTCTCGCAACGTGTGACGCGGTCTGTAGTTAAATTGTCGAGGTCTGCATTCTTCTTGGCGTATTTAGTGCAAAATCCGATGAAGCGGGAACAAGCGCTTTTAGCTGCGAAATCGTTGCAACAAGCCATCTCCGACATTTCGCTGTTTCTGAATGAATTGGTTCGAGTGAAAGCAAGAGAAGAGAAGGACTGGGTAGTCGTCCAAGACATCATTAAATTTGTCCGAGGTGTTCAAGTCCTCTCGTTCTTATCCAACCCGCCTCCCGTCTATAAAGCGTACACGTTACTTACGAATATAGTGAACGACGCAACGTCTCTGGAGGTCTACCGATTTGCAAATGTTGCGAGTGAAGTTGAGTTTCGAATAAAACTGTACTTTGACGAGTTTAAAGTGTGTGTCAATTCAGCGAACTGCAGTGCGGATTTGGTCCCGCCGACTATTGTCACTGAATTGAATTGTGCCATCGACCAACTCTCGTCGAACGACATTGTCCAAATTGGAAAGGAGATATTGAAAATGATGAAGAAGCATTATAATGGAGACTTGATACGAGCAAATCTCAATATTGCGACGATAGCGGCGCAATCCTCTGCGTCCGGTATCTTTGATAAGACGTTTGAGATGATCAAAGAGTCGATGAAAGCGTTTACACTCGACGAACAACTTCTGTTTAAAAGTCAGAAAGAGGAGTTCTACACGCGAGGGAAAGAGGTTCTTCGTGAACAGAAAGGGATAGAAGAGCTCTACTATGTGTCATCGTTACTTCGGAAGGCGCTTGACAATTGCTTCATAGTGGATGAAGTCAAAGGTACTCAAGCGTCATGCAGAGACGCTCGAGCCGCTATTTGCGAAGTCTTAAAGTGCGTTGTGAAACTTGTTGTCCCCCCAGAAGACGACAGTAAGAGGATGTACGCTAAGTTTGATGATCTCAGGAAATTCATGTCGATCAATAATTGGATGGACGCGATTCAAAGCGAACTGATCGCACTGTTCACGATATTCCATAGCGATAAGGATATGAAGGGAAGAATCTTTGCTACATTACAACTGGTCGAACTCATGTTGGACTTCTGCGCAACAGAACATTACAAACTAGGAATGCTCGAGGACCTGAAGAAAAGTGTCGCGTTCGAACTTGTTTATGTCAAATGGGGGTATCAAGACATCGCAGAAGTCGGGCAAACCATCGGCAATTTAATTGACTCGTACAATTAAACCGATGTCTTTTGAGTGGTACTTGGGTCAAAGTGAAAGAGTTTATATTTATAGTTTTAATACTATAAAATACTATATACAATAGTTTTTACGATTTTTTAAATGAATAATTAAAAAATGTTAAAAGAAAACTATACAAAATGAAATAAATAATCTTCAAAAAGATTGAGAGAATGACGTTTTCAAATCACTTTCTTTATTATAGAAGAAAAACTATTTAAATTCATTTCATGAGTTACAGAGTAGTTGTGATTGACAACCAAGGAATAGTCCGGGAAGACTCTGTGAAACAAGTCTTCGAGAACTGTGGAAAGATATCAAAAATCGAGGCATTTGAGTCTCAAAAGTTTTCTTTTTTTCTTGTTGATTTTTGTGACCTTCGTTCCGCGCAAACGTCACTGTTTTTAACAGGAACTTTGATTGATGGGAGTCGAATTGATGTCTCAGATTTTCAATCATTTCAAGAGAAGTACCCCGACCAATTTAAGCCAGTTGTGGTCATTGAAAATGAACAGATTGAAACAGACAAGTCCGAATTAAAAATTTCATTAAAAGAACTAAAACAAAGTGACCAGAACACACAGACAGACAGTACCAAACATGATAAAAATGAAATCGTCGAATCCGCTGAAAGTGCTTTGTACAAACTTCAGATGTTGATTGTAGATGGCGTATGTGGCGCACGAGACACTTATGACGAATTACTTCGAAAAGATGAGAAAAAAGACAAGTTTGAGGAAATGGATGTTAAGAAGACGGAACATAGTGAGTTCAAGCCTAACACTTTTATAGTCCAACAGAAGAAACCACAGAAACCTCTTCCACCACTTCCAACTAAATGATTCTGTGTATATTATAATAATATATATAATTATTTTATTATAATTATATAATTATTATGTTATATTTATAGTTTTTACTATATTTAAATAATTATATTATTATATTATTATATTATTATATTTATTATTAGTATTAGTATTATAGTATCTATTAGTTAAAGTATAATTAATTATTAATAAATATAACTTAAATGTTTCAAATGGAAGACAAAAGTGCAAGAGCAATTGCCCAATTCCAAAAACGCTCCACTGACTTACTCAACTTGATTTTTGTCAACAAAAAGTTCCAAAAAGCGGCTTTGAGTTTATCAACAAATCCATTTCCACTGACTGAAAATACAATTAAACTCTTTCCCGTTATGCAATATCAAACACTTTACAAGAATGGAGAAGACCGATTATCGAGCAATTGCGTCGTTTCTTATGAAATTGATTTTAAAACGGCGCAACATGAAGAAAAGAGACATAGTCGGTGTACTAAAGTGGTCTTAACTCTTAATGAGAAGAACATTTTACCAGAGATCCCTTCAATAGTTTCTACACTTGGGAAATATCTATTCAAAAACTTCGACAACTTCAAAAATCCACATTTTGTGGTCCCAACACAAATAACGAATATTGAAAATCACTGCTTTGAGGGATGTGATCAACTTTGTTCAATAGAATTTCCGCCCTTAATTAACACGTTGCGGAGTTATTGTTGTTATAAGTGTGCCAAATTGGATTTTGTTGGACTTCCAATGTATTTGGAGGAAATAGAAGACTTCGTCTTTACAAATTGCACTTCCCTCAAAAAAATTGTAATTCCAAGGAACGTCACAAAACTTGGGAAATATTTGTTTTATAACTGCCGTTCACTCTCTTCTATTTCTCTTCCAGAAAAGTTGGTTGTGCTCGACGAGTTTTGCTTTGGGTCTTGTGGAAAATTGAACGAATTGGTCTTACCAGAAACAGTTTCTTTTTTGGGTAACTCGTGCTTTGAGAACTGTTTTTCACTTAAGAAAGTTGTGTTTCCAAGTTTTTTCTATAAATTAAATAAAAGGGACATTGGGACTGTTGAGCAATCAACTCAACCAGTACAGTACTGTTGCGTGTGTGAAGACTTTTTCGAAGTAATGGAACAACTCACCACTGTTGAGTGTAACAAGCCAAAATTTGTTATTGGAGATCAGTGTTTCAATGGAACTCAAGTGGTTTTGTAGTCGATTAAAATAATTTCATTGTTTTGAATTGGTTTTAACGGATTTAAGGTGTTATATTATCTATTTATGTCGGTTAATATTTTTTTAACAACAGTTAATGATCGTACTTTTCAAATTTTAACCGAATGCCGATTGTAAAAAAGCATCTGTAATATACTTTATAAATGATAAAATAACTTTGTTACTTTCGTTAATGTATATATAACCTTTGTAAATTATTATTAAACTGTTCGTATGTATTATTTTGTTGTAGAAATTGGTTGTCTTTTTCAACAACAAAGCAAATTAACGTATACTCACTCTCTAACTCAATCACTCTCCACACATTAGCACTTTTTGGGGTAAAAATGGTTGTTTCGAAAGGGTAACATCATAATGTATATTTCAAGACGTTCTTTCAAGTCTGAAGAGAAATTCACCAAATACTTTTTATGAATACATATGTGTTAAATTTCACATTTTTTATGTAAACATAAAATAACTATTTTTACAATTAAAAAACTCCCCTCAAAAAGCATTTTATTTATTTTTGAATTCGTTGCCATTAATATTGTAAAAACAAAAAGGGTTAAACATGTAACTTATTTATATTTGGTTGCACTATAAAAAAAAATTACACTATAACTTACTTATGACTCAGTGTATTGGTAAACAAGCGACAATAATGTCCACAAAAAATAAAAATATAAAGGGTAATCGAGATATTTTAAATTTTTTTTAATGAAAAAATTGCTTTTTTGGACACAAAAATTTTAAGATTTACCCCAATCTATTAAAAAAAGTTCAAAAATACATTTTCACCAGATAAACAGTATTTTACATTTTTCATTCTTTGCCATCAATTACTAATTTTCAGTTTTTTTGTTATTACTAACCTATTAATTAATCATCTGTTTTTAAAAAAATTCAAAATATATAGACAAAAAAAAATACCCATCAAAGTGTAACCCACAAAAAGTTATTTTTTTTAAATAAAAGCGGGAGTTAAAAGTAATCATGTGATTTGTTCATATACTCAAATCATTGGGGTTATTTAAGATTATAACTAGTAAATAGTAAAAATAAGTTTGAACAGTTATAACTATTATATAATGATACTTTTTGTTATTAAATATTAGTTATTTATTTGCACCTTTTTTACACCCTCTTTTTTGAAAAAAATAAATTATCAAAATTTTTTAAAATATTTTTTCCCCAAAGAAAAAAATGCCGTTTTTTCCCATTTTTTTGTTTTTTGTGGTATTTTCCCGAATGTATTCAATTTGATTATACTGTTATTTCAAATATATGTTATATCGATTTTTATCACATTCGAAAAAATCAATAGATCGTTCAAAATTCATTAATAAAAATATAGTTTTTTAAATAATAATAAATACCAAAATGTTATGATTTTAGATTCTTTTTTAAACCTTGAATTGCTGATAATAAAAGAATCATATAAGTTATAATATTTTATAGTTTCTTTTTTCATCAAAAAAGAGATATCAGATCTGGAACTAAATCACTTTACAATAAGCACCAAAATAACTATTTTGTTCCCCAAAAACCATAACCCGATTGTGTAGTATTTTTCATTCCAAGTTAATAACATTTTAAAGCAATAACAGGGTGTTAGATAATAAGAGAGACATTTTTTGTGACTTCTTTCAACACCATCTAGGTTTATTGGCTTTATATCGGCACATTATTTATAAAGAATATCTAACCTCCTTCATACACACAAATCTATCACTGAATATATAATTTATATAATCATTATACTAATACCAAAACACTAGAGTCTGTTTTGCACTCAACAGTTGTTCAAAAAACACAAATTAATCGATATAAATAGAAAACAATACCAAGATGATTGGACAAGTTCCATTTGTTCTGAACCCAGAAGATTCTCTGCAATGTTTATCTTTCAAAAATAGAATTGTCGGTAACATTAAATGGTTCTTCGCACCAAGCCGCTGTAACTTAAAACACATTTAATTCTTATTGGCTTATTTTAGTTTTTTTATTAACAATAACTAGCTTAATAAATTAACTTCGTTTATTCAGGCTTTGTCCTCCTGCTTGGACAAGCCGATTGGAAAGGCTCTTTACCAGTAAAGTAGTGGGAATTACGACAAGATAGAAAAATAGAACAAACCGCGTCTTTGGTCATTTTTATCTTTTCATTCTTTAGGGGTACCGGTGCCATTATTCGGGAAGCCGGTTGGCTCAAATAGGGGCTATCTGCCTCTTTATTATAAAAAATAAGACCAAGTAGTGCAAAAGCAAGAGACTAGCTTCCAGCGCCTGGTTCGTTTGAGTTTGTAAAAAAGCAAAAAAACGCAAAATAAGTCTAAAAAAAGACGAAGACGAAAAATAACTTCCAATGACTTCATTCAGATGGAACTGTTCCAAATTTGAATGGCCGACTATAAAAACACAGCCCAATCTCTCAATTCATACAGTATGACAACTTCCAACTTCCACCGCAGCGTCCAACTCCCACTTGGAAAGTCCAGCGCAATCTCAATCGTGAAGTACACACGGTCCGAACTCTTCATCAAACCTTCCTTTAACAAGTTGTTAGAAGATGACACCTGTGACGACGAGTCCGACTTCGAGGTGTTCAACATTATCAACGGGATAGATAACGATGAGTTCTCATCATACATCTACCACGGGGAGTCTGTCATCAACACAGACCTTGCCCTTAGCCTGTAAATTCGGTGTGTCAAGCACGCTATTTATTAATAAATATGTTTTGTATTCTTCGGTCGACCGTTATTCATGTTTCTATGGCTTTAATTTTTATTACTATATTATTACTATATTAAAAAGCTATATATAGCAATAGTTCCAGAGTTTTTGAAGTTCTATTGACATTAACAAATATCTACTCCGCACTTTTGTTTGACAAGTTTCGTTGTTGTGTTCTTTACTTGAATATATAAGAAATAATGATATATTATACTATACTGTATTATTATCTTGTAAATCATAAAGGAAACTGCAGTGAGTAGAAAACGTCATAATACATATGAAGGAAAAATAAGTGGAAAATGGTTGATCTTAATATTATCTGCACGAAAAAAGAGTCCAAATTCACTTTTGTTATTAGAGTAAAAAAGACGGAATTGTTTTTTTTTGTTGAACAAATTGGGTTTTTTGAAGATTCAAAATCTATGACCATTAACAAATTTGTTATGGTAATTATAGTTAAAAAATAATTAATTTAATAATATTATAACTATTAAAGGTGAGAACAATTTTTTTCGAATGAATTCCACAAATTTTATTGGTGGAATTCATTTTTTTCAATTTTCTTTTTTGAATAATTAAAAAAAATTAATTTAAATTTGAAGAAAAAAATTAAAAAAAAATCAAAAAAATATTTAACTTTCTAATAATTTATTTCAATTATTAAAATTCTTTGAACAATTGATTTAAACTATTTTTACTAATAAATTTACTATAAATAATACCAAAACAAATACTAATCCATAACATCAGCGCTTTTTGTTGCTTCCCACCGCAACAGAGATTGTGACGATCTTATCTTTGACATTCACCTTGTGATTACTCAACGCCTTTGTCTTTGAGACTTCATCTCTAAAGTCGACAAACCCATATCCGTTGTTCAGCCGGACTTTAACGACTGGTCCAAACTCCTTTTCAAAGACTTCTCTGATTTCGTTTGCGACGAGTCCCGCTGTTTTTCCGATGAAAATTGAGAACTCCGATGCTGGTGCTGTATTCTCATCTTTATCGAATTGCTCTCCGATTTGCGCGCGTCGTTTTGCGATGACGGAGTCCTTAGTGTGGATTTTGGTCTTTGTATTTTCGTTGACTCTGATGAAAGCGCTTTGTGTGGTGTACTCTCCCCCACAGACCATTCCGACTTTGTTGTTATTGTCTTCGAAGACCAAAAGGGAGAGTCTTGTGTTAGTGAGTAAATTGTAGATCTCGGTACACGTCTGTATAACACATATAATCTTCAAAGCGTCTGGCTCGATGATATAAATAGTTTTCTTGTCATAAATGATGATAAATGTGAAGTGTGAGATCGCATGGAGTTCCTCCCCTTTATAAGGCAAGTCGATCTTTTTATTTAACTTCTTTGAAAAGAGCTGAAACCCGCTAAGAAAGAACATCTCGCCTTTACAGAAACACAACGAGTTGATGGAAGGAATGGAAATATCTTTTGCAGTGATTGTTTGGACGTCCGATAAATTGGGCTCAAAGGTAGATACCTTTGAACTGTCAAAGACACACGCGCGACTAAATTGGTTGTTCACTAAGATGGTATTTCCAACAACCGGAATGGACTTCACTTGTTCGATCTTCTCAACTTCCTTCTCGTCCTTCGGAGAGGCCGTGTCGGTGCTCGAAATAATCCGATTCTGAGTCACCGCAGTCGACTCTAATACTAAGAACTCTTGACTCTCTAAAAACGCGTCGTTGCTCCACACAAAATCGACGACGTTGGTGAGAGACCCGACAAAAGTAAATTCGGGAAGTTGGTAGATGTGAACTATATTGTGAACAAAACAAGCGACGTAATGGGCAGTTGGTGATACAATCACTTTATCAGTCTCTTCGGGAAGCGCAATGTGAGATAAGATGACGTTAGTCTTGAGAGAATAAGAAAACAATGTGTTGGCATTGTCATGAATGTATAAATAATTCCCGTAACCATCCATACTCAAACTTTTGATTTGTTTTGGAAACCCAATCTCAAGTGAATGACTGAGGGAAAAATCTGTCATTATGAAATTCTTTTTTAATAGTTTTTTTTGTCTTTTTTTATAAGTCTTAAAGGTTTATTATATTTACTTTTTTAGTAATTAAAGTCTAATAATTTAATAATTTAGAAATGTTTTTTTATTTAAAATAGATAGTATAAATATTAAAATATATAATAAAGATCAATTATCAATTATAATTAATGTATACTATAATTTAGTTAATTAATTATAATGGATATATTAAATTAATATATACCTTAATTTATATAATATATATTTTATAAAAATATTAATAAAAATATTATATTTTTTAATTATTTTTTAACTAATTTATTTTTAACAAATCTAATAATAACAAAAGTGCCTTATTTTTTTTAAATTATATATTTATTTTAGATAAAAAAAGATATTCTATATTTTTGGGAAATTAAACAAAATAATAAAGTTATTAAAATAAATAATACTAATTTCATAATTTTAATTTGGGTTGAATCGAAGCATACAGTTGAATATCTAGTTAAACGAAAATTAACTAATTAATAATAAATCTTTTAAACCGCAAATCAGTTATTTTCATGAGCAAAATGAACGATTTGCGGGAGTTTTCTAGGAGTCTCCGAGTTGCACCGAGTTCGCTTTCATCTTCTTTTATTAATGCTTTTTTTCTTTCACAGACTCCAAAGGAAGATTTGTCGCTCACAAATCTTCGCCTTTTGGCGTCGAACCCGGGGCTCGAACGCGAGAAGACTATATGGCGACCGACGGACTCTTCCAAGGTCTTAGCGACCCGATGGAAAGTGTTTTTAAGTTGTTTGCCACCCCAACCTGAAGCTTGGGGATTAATAGACACAAACAAAGTCAAGCAGTACATTTCATTATGTAATCAGTACAAGTCGCAGTTGGCACTTTTAGAGTCTGAAAATCCGTTAGAAAGCTATGCGACGGAGACTGCGTGTAAAGAGCCGAAGAATGTCACCGACTCGTACTTGAGGAAAGCGATGTGGGAGATCAAAAAAGATGCCCGACGAACGCATTTTGACCAAAGTGTGTTAGAAAACCGGTATGTGTTACATAAGATATTACTTATCTATCAATTGTCGAAGGGATATGAGTATGTGCAAGGTTTGTGGATCTCTTCAATTCGTTGGTTCATTATATAAATTATATCATTGAAATAACTAAAAGGGATGAACGAGCTTGTTTCAATTCTCATCGATGTATTTTCAGAAACAAAAAGTGGGGTCGAGAGAGAGGCTGAGACATTTTACTTCTTTTGCGAGTTAATGGAGATCATGGGCGACTGGTTTAAAGACGGGACTGAAGGGTTGAGGTGGATGAAAAACCGGTGCGACTCAATTGAATCGATCTTGGAAACAAAGGATGAGGAACTTGCGATGCATTTGAAGGCTTGTGGGATGGAGATGCAACTCTTTTTGTTGTTTGTTGTTTTTATTATCTATTATTTCTTTAATATCATATTATTAATATTTATAGTAATATTTATAGTATTAATTATAGTATTAATTATAGTATTATTTATAGTAATTTATTATAGTAATTTATTATAGTAATTTATTATAATATTATAATTACCTGTTAATAACAGACAGACGATGGGTACGACTACTGTTTTGCCAGATCTTCCCACCACAAGTGATTAAAATGATGTGGGACGTCATTTTTGCGTTCAGTGGAAGGTTGTCGTTAGTTGATCATATATGTGTAGTGTTGATCATATTACAACGTGGGAAATTGTTAGAAGGAGATTTAACACATGCATATAGTGTGTTGTTCAATTACCCCATTGAAGAGTATTCCCCAGACTTAATATTGAATTTGGCACTTGCGAGTTGTATGTGGTTTGAACTTCCTTTGATCAGGAATTTGGACTTTAAACAGCGAGTGAGAGTGAAAGAGTCTTCATCGTTTTGGGGGAAGGTGAAGACCGAAATAGTACCTGTCCACGCTATCTCAACCAGTGGAAGTCGTTCGGTTGCTGTGTCACCACCACTCACACCTAAATTGAAAGCTGGAAACCAAGCAAATATCCTCGACAAGTTTTTCCAAATTGAAGATCATTTAAACACTGCACTAATTCTTCTTGAGTTTGTTTGTCACAACATTTTGTATTGTGTAAGTAAGTTTTATGGTTGACAACTAGAAATGACCCAATTGCCGCGAAGGAGGTAAAGAACGCTCTTGTTGATATCATCAAACTGAAAAACGACATCCAGTCCGAGGAGAATTTCTTCGTTATGTTTTAAAATAATATGTCATCTTATATCTTTTGAGGTATTCATTTTGTTTAGTAAATCTTTTATAGATGCAGTTTTTAATTATTAAAGCAATCTTGGTATACTGGTATCAACAATTCAATAGATACAAATGATTCTATTTAAACATCAATCACATGAATTGAGTTGTTAAGTATATAGAAATATTGTTGATTTGCTCGTGTTATTACATTTATATTCACATTGGTCACTTAATAACAATTTGAAAGAATAACATGTAAGTTAAATGAATTCTCAATGTATGTTTTAAATTGTTTATTCAAAAAAGAAACCAAAATTGGATATAAACTTCTTATTTAATAATTTAAAAATGGACAATTTCTAACAACAATTGTGGTAATATTTGTAATACCATTCACTTTTCGTAATAACGGACAATTTTGAACATGAATTTTATTCGTGTTTTTACTAACTGTGATTTCTTCAAGTAATTTGCAATTACCTATAACAATTTCTCTTACACTTTCTTCACAATACAGAAAAATAAATTTTTCTCTGAAAATGGTCGACTTTTTTAAATTGACATATTTTGATAAATTTTGTACCTTTTTTGAAATGCCAACGATTTTCATGTTAAAATTTCCACCTTCTATATAATCAAAAAACACGTCTTTTAATTTCAATTTTTTCACTGTTTTTGAGAGTGTCAATTTATCGAAATTTCTATCACTGCAAGTGGTAAAAAGTACAATTTCTTTGCACTTCAAAAAAGAGAGGTCTACTATTCGTGGATTTTCATTTCGGCTATTTTGCAATGAAATAAATGCCACGTCAACATCTGGGCATCTCAAAACATCATTTTCAGATTCTGGAAAACAAAACTCAATTGTTGATTTGCTGCATTTCCCACAAATAATTGTTTCATAAATATCACGTGTTATTTTAGTATTTTTAATGTAAAAAGTGGTGTTTTCTTTCGATATTTCTTTATCTTTTTGATTGTGTTTTTTATCTGTTTTTCCGATGTTACAAAACGACAATTTTACGTCTGGAAAGCGTCTTACAAAACATTCAAGTTTCTTCAGTTTTATAATTTCCACTTCATATGTTGAATTGTTGATTTTAATGCTTAAAGATGGAAAACACCCAATTTGCAAAGGATTTGATAAAAAGAATTTATTTGTCTTATTATTAACAAAGCGAATTTTCGAATAATACCCTGAAAATATATTTTTGTTCTTCAATTCCAAAATTTCTCTATTTAAAAAGTTTGAAAAATCCGTTTGAATAATATCAGTTGTTCCTTTTAATAAGCACTTAATTTTGGAATTTTTGACACTCTTAAATACACTTTTGTTTGTGTCTATAATCCTTTTAAATTTGAAATAATTTGTCTCTACATCTTTGTATGCGTTCTTCACAAAAAACTCGACGTTTTCACACTTTTCAAAATTTGTGTACTTGAAATCACATCCTTCTATTTTGATATTATCTGACTCGGATAATAACAAATAGCAACACTCTACGCCAACTATATCAACATTTTGTGTACGAAAAGTTGTTAATTTTGATATTCTCATTTTAGGGTTTTCAACTTTTTGTGTATTTGTGTTGTTCTTGATGCTAATATCCACTGATGTGTACACTCTAAGCCATACACAATATTTTTTGGAAACAAATGTAACACTCTCACAGTAATCAAAATCGGCATTTTCTGCGCTCACTAAGAAAACTTCAATTTTCTTGCATTCGACAAATAAAATTTTTTTAATGACATTCCCATAAATCTTGACGTTGTTTAATCGACGAAAACGCGTGTTATTTACTGAATTTACAGAAAGGTATATCACACGCAATTTTTCGATTTCCGAAAACAGTACAATTGGTGATTGAAGTGTCAATACATTATAAAAATTGTTATAATTTTGGTCCGCAGTTATTACGTTCAATAAATTTTCTGGGCATTTCATTATAGTGTTAGAGTCGTCAAGGCACAACGTGTCCACATTATATTTCCGGTTTTGACAATATTGTTTGACCGAGTCAAATTTGATAGAATTTTTATTTGACACAAATACTTCTCCTGTGAAGCGAGAGTTCCCAATAAAAAGTTCGTTGTTACTTATATCAGATGTTTCCACAGTCCCAAATTGCAACACAGAGATATGAGATTTTTCAAGTTTATACTTCAGATCTGATATTATGCCTTTGTAAATAAGCGAAAGTATATTACATTCCAATACAACAACAATTTTAAGAGGAGGAAGGTGCAAAGATCTTCTGGTTTCTGGTAGAGTCAAAATGTTTTCAATAAAGTCTGGCATCGCACAGCGCCAAAAGATTAGTGATGTTATCGTTTTGTTTGTAACAAGTTTTAAGATGTATGTAAATGATAGATTCCACTCGAAAACATTGAGGTGCAACAAATTTGTCATTTTATTGATATACTTTTTGTATGGTTTTGTGAAGTCCAAATACAAGTGAGTGATTTTCTGTATAGCATTTTTGTTGAGCTGAGCATGTTGTATTCGACAATTTGAAAACCTTCCTGTTGGAACAAGTCGCACAAACGTAACCCTTTTGACAACTTTTTCACATACTGTATTTTCTAACATAAAATCCGAGCATTGGAGGGTCTCAATCTTTGGAAATGCTTTTTCTATGAAATCAAAAATCAGTTTAAAAATGGGAAGTATTTGTTTTGGTGAAAATTCTATGAGAAAATGAGAAATTGTGATGTTGGGATTGATATGGAGACTTTCCAGACAACAGTTACATTTCTTATTAACCAAAATGAAAAATTTGAGAGAAGTGATGTCGTTTATGAATAATACTACATTCAATAAAAAGACATGTTCGAGTTTCGTCATTAAATGATTTATAAGTTGTTTCATTTTTATTTTAATGTACAAAATAATTTAAAATTATGAATGTTATATCAGTCTTATCAGATAAATTTAATACCAAAACAACTTATATTTAAATAGTATTTTCAAAGTTTTTTATATCAAAATATTTCAGTACCTAAAAAGTACAGAACAGGCTTTTCAAAATAATTATTAAAATGTGGTATTATAACGTACGAATTTATAAGAAAAAATGAATATTTTGGTTATTAAATGGTGACGTGGGTAATTGGGATTGTGGTTATAAAAACCTCTGGTACAGAACTAATCTTTAATAATTTATATTAGCATTCTTTATACTTATTTAAAAAAAATCAAACTTCACCTTTGAATAATTTTCCTGTATATCAACAAACAAATATAATGTTTTTCCCATTGTATTCAAACATAGTATTTATATAACAAACATTAAAAATCTTTGAATTTCATTTAAAATATGAATAAACTGGTGTTCGAAGCGGTACTTCTTGGTGAAGATGGTGTTGGTAAGAAAAACATTATCGATAGGTATGTTTATGGAGAATTTGACAGAATATATGAACCAACTAGAAGAGACAAATTTATTACAACTTTGACTGTTGAAAGTCAACTTATTGTTGTGGAATTTAACAAGATGTTTTTTTCAAGTTATTCTTTTTTGGATTATTATATCAGAAAAAGTAGCGTGTTCTTTTTGGTGTACTCAATAACTTCAATTTATTCATTTAAAAAAATACAAGAGATGAGAGACATGGTTATACAAATTAAATGTTGGGACAACAAAACAGGTTTACCTATTGTGTTATGTGGAAATAAATGTGACTTGGAAAGTGAAAGAAAAGTGACAACAGAAGAGGGTCAAAAATTGGCAGATGAATTTCAATGTGCATTCTTCGAAACATCTGCAAAAAACAATACAAATTTGGATGTAATGTTTCAAGTTGTTGTTAAGGATTTATTAAATTATTCCAAATCAATAAAAAGTTTAAATATAGAATTAACAAAACAAAAGAGTCATAACAAAAACATTGGCTGTTTGCTAGTATAAATCACTTTTATATATTTCATTGTTTTGCTCGATTTCTTATATATTAAATAACAATTTAAACTTTTTTGTTAGAAAGAATTGTTATAATTAAAAATGTAATTCATATGACAGTAATTTATTATTTTTTCATATAAACACATGTGTTGGTATCAAAGTCAATCCCAAAAATTGTTATATACCATGATGTTTCTTATTTTTGGTGTTATTTTTTTTAGTACTTGGTTGATGTTACATGTTTATACACATGAAGTTTCATATTTTTTTGATTATTTATCAAAAAGTAAGTTTAGTTGTTGGATAAAAATATAAAAAATAATAAACAAAAGATAATTATTTATAATATCTCGTTAACATGTAATTATTAACAAAAATACATTAAATAAAAATCATAGATATCAGTGTTGTTACACTGGTGAATTCATTATATTTGTTAAATTGATATTATTTCAACATAATCACATGGTTATTACACAATAATTAAAATATAAAAGAAACATTCAAATTTATTACAGATTCTATTTAAATCACATCTACAATCATGTATTTTTGAACGTCGTTGTACATCAACTATTTCGTTTTTAAATAGTTCTTATATTGAAATCTTTGTAAATAATTAAAAACGCCGTTTTTTTTCATGTTTAATAAAAAATTTCAATGTTATGATTAAACCCAATTTCAACAAATGGCAATTAATTTTGGTGTTGAAAACCAGCCCACCCAGTGGTCGTTCCCTTAAACTCTCCAAATAGATCTCCTCCAATTAAATTTGCACTTACTGTTTGTTTAAAAAGTTGACTTTTCTCTATTTTGACATTTGTAGAGTCGTGTTGTATAAAAGTGATATCTCCAATAGAAGATATGACAATATTATCACAATTTTCAACAACAATATCGACACCACTCAAAACCATTATTTCAATGTTTTGGCAATTTTTCAGTTTGATATTTTTACACTCAAATTTTGGCATATTGTTAATCTTAATATTAACAATTCCAATGAGTTCAACGTGCTGAGTTGTTATACTTATGTTCTTGTCAAAGAACGTTTGGTCGACATTTTGCATAACAAGTTCACCTATTGCGATCCCTGTGATATCTACATCTGAATTGAAAATGCCGCATTTTTCAAAAAACAGTTGTTTGTTCGTTTTAATTAATTCTCTGATTTTTTTAATTGTGACCTTCGAGTTTTCAATATGAATTGTGTTGATATTGTTTTTCACAAAGACTGCATTCACTTCGCACTTTTTGCATATTAAATTGACAAAATTTAAATATAAATCGTCTTTTACATTTGATGTGATACTTTCAAGTGTTAAATATTCGACTCTAGTGTTTCTTAAAAAATAAGTGGGATTAAATGTTGTCATTTTTAACGTGTTAATATAATCAACATTTGCGTTATTTTGATCAATAATTGCGAATAATGTGGTGAGATCTTTTTCATTCGAAATAACAATTTCTTCTTTTTTACAAGAACTTGGTTGAAGGCCTTTAGGAAGTGAACAGAAGTTGAGTGCAAATGAGAACTTTTCACTCAATTTTGAAAGTTTAGAGTAATCGCCTTCAAAATTGATGTGATGTGAATTTTCAATTTCTATTTCCTCGACACAATTCATCGCAAAAGTGAAATTCTCAATATCAGATATTGAAAATGTTTTAACGTTAGAGAAACACAACATTTTGTTTGGTGTAATTGTTGTTTGCAGCAATTTAATGTTCAAAATTGAATTGAAATTTTGGCCAAAAAAGTGGATATTAGATCTCTCAGAAATGAATTTTTCAATATGAGCAGTTTCTAATATACCAATAATACTATTAGTGCAATTAAATGATTTACAAGTGATATCAAGAAAAACAAAATTCTTACAAAACTCAGCAGAAATTTTTTCAATTATTCTGTTATTTTGTCGACCAAAAGTTGTGACAAAATTTGTAACATTTTTGAATTTGATTTCTCTGATGTGTTCACAACTTTCAAATGATATATTGAGGTTATTCGATATATCCAAAACAATTGTTTCGGCAAATGGAAATGGGAATTGGTTCATTCGATCATAAACCTTTTCTGATGGTGTTTCAACTGTTGTTATTTGACTTTCAAAGCTAAATACAAAATCTTCCCACCCAACAAACGTGCGTTTAATTTCGTCTTGTGTATTATACATTTCACTTCCATTATATTGTTTCAATTGTACCTCTGTGACATTTTTAATAAGAACACCATATTGAATACAAACTGAAACTTTTTCTAAAACAATTTTTCGTGGGAGGTTCTTCCCTATTATCACTTTTGAGTTTTTTCCTTGGAAATAAAAAGTTGAGTCAAGTGTATTAAAATTTATTTGTGTCGAGTCGAACAAAAGTGCATCATAAATTTCATTGTTTGGTGATCCATTAGTTTCAGAAATCGGTGCATTAAATTGTCCAATAGTTGTATTAAATTGTTGCATTAAATTTCGTTGTATATTCATAAAGAATGAGACATTTTGTGAGAAACTTTTCATGATAATTTCGTTGATTTTGTCGATGTTTTCTTGTGTTGCATAATCGTGGATTGTGAATTTAACATTTGAAGAAATTGGTTTACAAATATCCAAATTAGAGTTTATGTAATTTTCAGTGTAATTGTTGAACTTGGTGTATATGGAGAAATCCATATTTTTAGGGTTTCCCCATAATAAAATAATTTCTGTGTTATATTTTTTCATAGTTTCTTCAATTAATTTACACTCTAATGCTGGCATAATTTTAACTTTATTTGTATCACTCCAAATTGGTTGATTACTCCACATATTTGCATCACATTTTCTGAGAAATATCATTTTTGGGAACTTCATTTTGTTGATGTCGAGTTGTTCGAACTTCTCCAGAAATAATGGGAAGTATAATGAATGAATCGATAACACTTTTAACGATTCAAAAAGTTGTGTTTTGATTTGATCAACGTTGGTGATTTCAGCAGAATCAATTTTGTCTAATAGATCATTGGGGAAATTGTTATTTAACGAAACAAAACGGAAATGTTGAAGATCAGCAAGAGATTTTGTGGCATATTCATCACAACTGAATATTTTGTAATTCATATTCAAAGTAGTCAAAGGAAACATTTTTGAATATTTGATGATATCTACTGATGATATCAAAACTGGATTAATGTGCATAGAACATGCCAACTTAGCACAAGATTTGTTGATTTTTATGAAATTCATGACGTCGTTATATGTTTCAAGATAAAGATAAACGTTCATCAAGAATATTGGCTCAAGGCGTTTCATTTTGTATGTTTTTGAGTTACAATTCCGTATTCATGTTGAGATGTTTAAAACTTAATAACATTTGGTTGGTTAAACATTTTTAGTTCAATAATATTATTTTAATTGGTTTTTACAAAAACAGTAAAAATTTTTTATTTTAATCAATCAAAACATTTAATTTTTGCTTCCAAAGTTACTAAATTATAAAACCAAAAACATTAAAAAATACAATAATTGACATATTTTGAAACATGGTAAGTACAGTAAAACCTTCCAAGAGCGGGTTCTCTCAAGAGCGGGCATTTTTTAGACTGAAACTAAAAAGAGAGTTCTCTATAGAGCTGTAACTAAGGTTTGATTGGCTAAAAATGCCCACTCTTGAGAGGTTTTATTGTAGAATACAAATTCGAAACGAATAAGTTTTTCATTTAAAATATCAATTACGAGCCGAATTCAGTTGATATAACAAAAGTTGTTTTAGTAAATAAACATTGAGAACCCCATATAAACAATCCGAGACATAATTGTGTTGGTTGAGTGGTAATGTGTTATCCCTGAATCGGCACGATATACCAACTACTTTTAAATACAAAGAAATTTTAATTGAAAATAATATAAAATTATATCGTTTTTTCAGAAAATTTTAGTTATTTTTTGGATAATTAATAAGAAATGAATAATTTGAAATTACAAACTATTTTTAAATTTAATTTTAAATAAACGGTATACTTATTTGTA